GGTTGCAGCCAAACACTTCCCTTAAAAGGAATCACCATTCTTTGCCGTAAAAGAAAAAAGAGGCATATTTCCATGGGTGTTAAACTGTCAAAATCAACATTGAAGACTGTGCAGTAACTGACAACGGGTCTAAAATACAAGTAACTTTTCCACAGGTCAGAGTATAGTTCACCATGATACAGACAAATGAATAGCACAAAGTGTTTGCAAGCTCTAAACTTTTAACAAAATGCTCTATTAGATAGAGGGGAATCTGTGTGGTTTCGCAATTCACCTGTGGAGCAGTAACATGCACTTCTTACCTGTGGAATGTGACCTGTACTTTGTGAATGTCTTAAGCATTTTAGGAGAGATAAACATTTTACTTTTAAAATAATAATGTAATGTGCCTCATTCTATAATCAAACTTTAAGTATTGTTTAAAAGACCAGCATTAGTGTATTTCCAGGTTCTGATTATACATGTCTGCAGATTTTTTGAACGGCTTCAAAATCTTTAATTTATCAGATAGACACTCATTAAGCATTTCTTTCTTTTGTTTTTCTTTATGGATTATTAATGAGTTTTGAACGTCAGTTAAAGTGACTCAGACTGGAAATTATTTTTGAATTTCTCGTCATGCAACGGCTTTTAATTGCTGGTCTCTGGTGAAAGATTTACAAGAAACTCCACTACAGCTGTATTAACCTTCTTGTCTAAATTTATTATTGTAATATTTTAGACATCATTCATATTTTCCATTAAGAGGACTTCATTTTCAAATGGTACTTTACACTCTTACTAAAATTGAATTACCTGACACATACCTGTATGTCAACAATGCCAATTAAATCTTGCTGATCTTCCTCGAAGACAGTACTTCTAATAACTTCAGAAATGTCTTTCCAGTCAGTGTAAACCTGAAATCAAAATGAATAATTATACGAAAAGCCCAAATTACAATCTGAAATGAGGTGTTTTAAGTTTAATAAGGGGAAACTGCCTATCTCAGTTTTTTTTTATGAGAGCATGTAGTGACCTTCTCTTGTGGCCTGTGTTTTGTAACTGCCACTTGTTAAAGTTAAGAATTTTGTTCATAAAAGCAAAATCAGCTTGACTAGTTTTAACTAAATAACGTGTCTGGATTTTGCCCCATATCTTATTTCTCATAAAACTGTCCAATGTGTCTTCCAGTTAAGTAAAAAAAGACTTGATTATTTGATTACCTTTAAAAAAAATTAGTAGAACACTTGTGCTGCATAATCAGATAGCTGAGAAAGATCAGCATTGTCCACCTTCTGCCTTTTCTTTCCTCGTTTCCCTTTAGCAACCAACCCACCAACACACTTCTCTGACAGCTCCACATATCTTTCCCCGATTTCACATAGCCTGCCCTGCCAGAATTCCAGTCTTCTTTGAACTTCTTTTCCAGTTTCTAAGGAAAACAGGTTAGGTAGTCACATCATGAAGTGTAAGGGGGTATTCTTTTTAAGGGAGGACTATTATGGAAGAACACAAACCACTGGGTGTGCTGTACATGCTAAGGAACATTCACTCAGTTGAGATGCAGTATTATCTGATGCAATAATATTAATGATGTACCCTTGATACACAATGGTCACATCATGGGGTTGTATTAATACTAACAGTGCTACAATCTTGGACAAAACTGTCAACAAAATTGCATACTTGGGGGGCATTTTTTCTAAACTTCGTAGCCGACCAATTGAATATAGTGTATGCTTTTTGTGGGAATACACAACTCTCAGTTTTTTACATAACATTGTCTCGATCAACCAGGGAGAATACATTTTACTACACATCTAAGGGACTTCTCATAAAACTGTCCAATGCATCTTCCAGTTAAGTAAAAAAAAAGACTTGATTATTTGATTACCTTTAAAAAAAATTGGTAGAACACTTCTGCTGCATAATCAGATAGCTGAGAAAGATCAGCATTGTCCACCTTCTGCCTTTTCTTTCCTCGTTTCCCTTTAGCAACTGACCCACCAACACACTTCTCTGACAGCTCCACATATCTTTCCCTGATTTCATGTAGCCTGCCCTGCCAGAATTCCAGTCTTCTTTGAACTTCTTTTCCAGTTTCTAAGGAAAACAGGTTAAGTAGTCACATCACGAAGTGTAAGGGGGTATTCTTTTTAAGGGAGGACTATTATGGAAGAACACAAACCAAGCACTGGGTGTGCTGTACATGCTAAGGAACATTCACTCAGTTGAGATGCAGTATTATCTGATGCAATAATGATGCACCCTTGATACACAATGGTCACATCATGGGGTTGTATTAATACTAACAGTGCTACAATCTTGGACAAAACTGTCGACAAAATTGCATACTTGGGGGGCATTTTTTCTAAACTTCGTAGCCGACCAATTGAATATAGTGTAAGCTTTTTGTGGGAATACACAACTCTCAGTTTTTTACATAACATTGTCTCGATCAACCAGGGAGAATACATTTTACTACACATCTAAGGGACTGACATAAAAAGAAGTTCCATTATATGTTTAATTTCTAGCTGGCAAACATTTTAGAAGATAATCACCATTTTCCATGCTCTCTTAATAGCCATTCTGAAGCAAAGCCACAGGAACAGCAACTTTTCACAAAAGAATTAATGTTGCAAAATGTGTTGGACTTATCATAATGAAATAAAGTTGATTATTCAAAAGTGCTAACAGTTTCAATACCAACAAGAGCATGTGATTAAACCAGACTTTGCCTTTTTCCCCAATGGATTCTAGTTTTCACACAATAAGATACATAATATTTAAGAACATGTACAGCGTAGCTCCCAAAAACTAATATTTTACTAATAAGGTATGCCTTGAACAATGACTTCAATACTAACTGTAAATTGGCATTTAAAATTTCAATAAAGACCTTTAGCATCAGGTTTTTCATGCATGGGACACTGCAAACAGGTCTCAAATATGAGAACGTCACAATCAAGTGACTGGTCTTCTGGTTGCGTTTGTAGTTTGCAGTTCAAGTTTGAATGGCAGGAAGGGCTTACAGCAGTAGGTGACTTACAGGAATGTTTTTGCCACAATAACAATTAATATTATTGTTCAGCCTTACATTTAAAAGCACAAAGCAGCTTTCTACACCACCCTCTGATGTGCTAGTTAGAGCTGGTGATAAACAATGAATGTCTGCCTAAAGTTTAAAATCCAGGCAAAGTGAAACTGCAAATGGGTGACTGCAGACTGCAGTTTACAGTTTGCAGTATCCCATGAAAAACTGATGCTAAAGGTATTTTTAATACCTATGGATGTTCTCCAACAGGAAATTATTTTGCTAACAATGAAAGCTCTCAAGATTAAAGGATATTCAAAACAAGATTTAAAGTTCAAGGATTTTCCATAAACTCGACTTAACCTAACCTTTCTATAAGAAGAGTTGTTAGTTTAGTTCTAACAATAGTTAAGTAGGTGACAAAATTAGTTTCAAGTACTGTAGCGTTGAGATGTATGATAATATATAAAAAAAAAAAAAGTACTAAAAAAAAAAGTAAAAGATAAAACTAACTTGATGTAGCATGACCATGCCTGTCATGGGAAGTAGCCATTAACTGACGCTGTAATGAGTGTGCTGCCTCAATTAAAGCCTTGATTTGAATACTCTCTCAAGCTCGAGCTGGTTTCTAAACAGCATGCTGGCATGTTCAATTGTGATGTGGCCATAATCACCAGTGCCCAGGTTGCAGCCAAACACTTCCCTTAAAAGGAATCACCATTCTTTGCACTAAAAGAAAAAAGAGGCATATTTCCATGGGTGTTATTAAACAGTTGTCAAAATCAACACTGAAGACTGTGCAGTTAAACTGACAGCGGGTCTAATTAAAATACAGGTAACTTTTCCACACTGTCAGAGTACAGTTCACCATGATACAGACAAATGAATAGCATTAAAAGTGTTTGCAAGCCCTAAACTCAAGAGAGGAATCTGTGTGGTTTGGCAATTCATCTTTGGAGCAGTGGCATGTACTTCTTACCTGTGGAATGTGAACTGTACTTTGTGAAAATCTTAAAGATTTTAGGAGAGATATAAACATTTTACTTTTAAAATAATAATGTATGTGCCTCATTCTATAGTCAAACTTTAAGTATTGTTTAAAAGACCAGCCTGAGTGTATATATTTCCACGTTCTGATTATACATGACTGCAAATTTTTTGAACGGCTTCAAAGTCTCTCATAATTAGATCTTGTACTAATATTTAGGTCTGTTTTTTTTTTTAATCTAAAAAATTGCATGTTAAGTTTAGCTGTACCTTTGTCAGATAGACAATCATTAAGCATATCTTTCTTTTGTTTTTTCTTCATGGATTATTAATGAGTTTTTGAATGTCAGTTAAAGTGACTGGAAACTATTTTTGAATTTCTCGTCATGCAATGGTTTTTAATTGCTGGTCTCTGGTGAAAGATTTACTAGAAACTCCACTACAGCGGTATTAACCTTCTTGTCTAAATTTATTACTGTAATAGTTTCAGACAGTATGCATATTTTCCATTAAGAGGACTTTATTTTCAAATGGTACTTTACACTCTTACTAAAAGTGAATTATCTGACACATACCTGTATGTCAACAATGTCAATTAAATCTTGTTAATCTTCCTCGAAGACAGTACTTCTAATAACTTCAGAAATGTCTTTCCAGTCAGTGTAAACCTGAAAATCAAAATGAATAATTATATGAAAAGCCCAAATTACAGTCTGAAATGAGGTGTTTTAAGTTAAAGGGAAACTGCATGCCTATCTCAGTTTTTTATAAGAGCATGCAGTGACCTTCCCTTGTGACCTCTGTTTTGTAACTGCCACTTGTTAAAGTTAAGAATTTTGTTCAAAAAAGCAAAATCAGCTTGACTAGTTTTAACTTTAACGTGTCTGGATTTTGCCCGATATCTTATTTCTCATAAAATTGTCCAATGTGTCTTCCAATTGAGTAAAAAAAGACTTGATTATTAAATAAATCTTACCTTTAAAAAAAATTGGTAGAACACTTCTGCTGCATAATCAGATAGCTGAGAAAGATCAGCATTGTCCACCTTCTGCCTTTTCTTTCCTCGTTTCCCTTTAGCAACCGACCCACCAACACACTTCTCTGACAGCTCCACAAATCTTTCCTTGATCTCACGTAGCCTGCCCTGCCAGAATTCCAGTCTTCTTTGAACTTCTTTTCCTCTTTCTAAGGAAAACAGGTTAGGTAGTCACATCATGAAGTGTAAGGGGTATTCTTTTTAAGGGAGGACCATTATGCAAGAACACAAGCCACTGGGTGTTCTGTACATGCTAAGGAACATTCACTCAGTTGGGATGCAGGATGTGATGCAGTAATGATGTACCCTTGATACACAATGGTCACATCATAAGGTTGTATTAATACTAACAGTGCTAGCTAGCCTATCACAACTTCCTGTGAAGATGGATGTAAATGGAGTCATTAATTCAAACTGTCTTGTTTATCACAGTCAAAGGGAAGGAAGGGTTTTAAATAACAGTATAATGACTGTAACATGTACCTGAACCTGTGAGAGTAATAGTCTCCTGCTTTGAACCAAAGTCTCTGGTGAACGTGTCTGAAATAGCCATGTCCTGATAGTAATAAAACAAATTATTAAAAATTCATTGAATATTTTAAACAGAAACCATTTTTTTCAGTTTATGTTTCTACATACTACACAAAAAATATAATATTGTGTGTTGCACTGGTTTAAGTGAAACATTCAAATCATGTGATATCCTGAGCCATACCTTGATTCTATCATTACAAAATGTGACTTTATTCAGGAGCACCTCTTTAGCACTTTCTGGATCAGCAAAAAATGACTTCAATTTGTCATGAGGCAAGGAGTTTCTAACAATCGTTTCAATGTTTGTGAGGAACTCACGTTCAGTAGAACCTTCAGGAAAAATAGTACAGAAAGAAACAAACAGGATTTAAATTCACAGCTTAATGACATCTTCACTACACACCAGTGTTACAGTTTTCATATTAAGGATCAAGGTATTATACAAATGAAACTCATGCAGCTGCTACAGCACAGACAGCACAGAAGTAAAAGGGTGAGGACAAAACGTGAACCTGAGGGGTCCATGGACCCCCACTTTGGACCGGGTCCATGGACCACTTTCATGGACTGGGTCCATGGACCCCCTGTCATGGACCGGGTCCAGGGATACTTTTTTTTAAGTAATGAGAATTGAACAAAAACAGAAATAGTGCAAAAAAAAAGATTTGACAAGATGCTGTTCATTAGCTTACATACTCTGCTTACACGCTGACAGTCGCAAGACTGTTCAGCTTATGTGCTCCAGTACAAAGACTCGCATTATGAACAAGCTGAAGTTTAGAATTCATTGCTTTTAGAGCAATCATGACTGATTCACATCGCAATTCTCCATAGCTGATGTAGCTCTACAATCCACTTCTTACGAGCTGGGGCCAGTGTGACAAAACATTGACCTTTCAGTATGAAATACAGTGAAACCTGTATTAAGTGGACACCGTATTATTAAAGCAGACACCCTCTATTAAGTGGACATTAGCCGAAGTCCCCAAATTTATTTCCCTTATTTACTTTAAATGAAACCTTTATTAAGCAGACACCTCTATTAAGCGGACGCGGACACCTAAAAAGTACCTGAAATGGCCATTTCTATTGTTGCCAACCTGTATTAAACAGACAATTATTGTAATTAAATTCCACCACCCAACATGCCAGACACCAGAAATGCAAAAGATTGCCTCGAGCTGCCACCCACCATTTTTTTAATTTTTACATTAGAAAACGTGACTTGATTAGTTTCACAGTACAGTATTGTTTTCTATGTCATTTTGTTTGTATAGAGCTTGTTTCACTCATCTGATTTCTTCAAATTTGAGTTGCAATCTATGTTTATGGTACTATTATCAATTGGTCCGCTTTGATAAAGAAATTAATGCAAACGTATATCATCATAGTCTCTCGGGGAGTATTCTGAACGTTTCCACTGTTCATTTGAATGGCATTTGACACCTCATATGACGTTATCTATCGAAACCTGTATTAGGCGGACATACCTGTAGACACTACAGCATTCTTCGAGGGTGTCCACTTAATACAGGTTTCACTGTAAGCAGCAAAAAATTCACATTTGCTCAGTCAAAACGTTTTCCTCCAAAGCATAATCCACGCGTCAGAGGATACAATTCATAAGAACAAGCAGCATTTTGGCATGAGGTAAAAGTTGCGTGTTCACACTATGTAAGCACAATTGAATAATACTTATCAATCGAGCATTGTTTGTTATTGTTGTTGTTTTTAATCTTTATATTTTTGCACTATTTCTGTTTTTGTTCATTTCTCATTATTTCAAAAAAACTGTCCATGGACCTGGTCCATGACAGGGGGTCCATGGACCCGGTCCATGAAAGTGGTCCATGGACCCGGTCCAAGGTGGGGGTCCATGGACCCCTGGTCCATGTTTTGTCCTCACCCAAAGTAAAAGCCCTAAAGTGGATAAAGCGAATGAAAGCATGCAATCATGACAAAATTGAAACAAGATAGAAGATACCTGAAAATGAAGACACCTGGACGTTGTGCTTTTCAACAGCAGTTTCTTTGCCCTCCTTCATCTTCACCGTTATTCTGCTGCTAAAATTCTCAGGGCCATAATTTGCCAATTCGGCATTACATTCATCAAGTGAACCCACTTTGTAAAAAAATAAACCCAAAGATGACAACAGCTGTTCAGTATTTCTAAGTTCACAGTGAAGGGCGCAGAGATTAACTGTAGATGATAAATCCTCTTCAGGAAGGAACTCTAAGTCATCATGGATGCCTTTGAAACTAGAAAAAAGAAGATTCATTATTTTGTTAGTTGTGGGTGATATCTCCCCTGAAGTGGTACTTAACTGTTTTATAGATTTCAAATGCAAGTATTTTACTCGACAGGTTTTCAGTCTTTTATGACAGTGCTCCTACAACATTGACACACCTACAGTAAAGGAAGACTGTGGAATATTATTATGGGAAAATAATATGTGCTCTCTAGGAAAACAAGACAAGGATAATTGCCAACATTTAAGGACAGGGGCATTAAACACCATGTTTGTCCAAAAAAAGCTTTTTGTTTTCTTTTCCATGCAGTGGAACTTCCCCTTTTACAAAATGCAAGGCTTAATTTACAAAATATTATTGTTAAAATGAGGTCTATATAAAAAGTTAGTCTTTTATAGAAAACATACTTATTAAGCTATAAATGCTGGGATGAAGGGAATCACTCACTATACCAGGGAATTTAATTTTTTGAATAGATGGTAACCGTATTGAGATAACCTTGTTTTGAATGCCTTTTATAATTAGAAGTTACTGTGAATTCAAAATGACAACTACAAATGCTGAAATTCACGAATAATCAAGGGCTGCATGCCTCAACAAGTATCATCGGAGAATTCTTAGTAAACCAAAACTATAACTAAATTACCCTCCAATATTGGCCTTGGATATGCTAAAGTGTTCCAAACAAACTGTATGCAGACCAAGATTGCGATTACATCCCTAATCATAACTATAACAAAATTCTCACATCTGATTGGCTATCAACTGCCCTGATTTCAGCCTTAATTGGACAGTTTGATAGGACAGTACGCGTCATGCCTAAGTAATTGGACAGTACGCGCCATCACGTGCGCGCTTAAATGGCTTTTTTTTTTCACTGCTAGCAAAACAAAAACTCAAATTTCTTGTATTTTGATTTAAAAAATAGCCTATTATATTACAAATTTTGTTAAAGTTATGATTAATTGGTAACAGAACTTCGTGTCGTCCAATTCGGTCTGTAATCATACTCGTGATTAAACAAATCGGACTCCCGCTACGCGGTCGTCCGATTTTGTTAATCACTCGTATGATTACAGACCGAATTGGACTCCACTGAGTCCTGTTACCGTTACTAATAAAGCAACAATAAAAATAGCCATTATTCATAGCTAGTTTTTACTAAGAAATTTTACCCAGCAAAACTGAAAATCTAATAGTACTATATTGGTTAAAGTTGGTCATTGGTAAGGTCAAAACCTGCATAGTAGAATTTGTTGACTCAGAGATTTTGAATATATCCACATACCCTCAATGCTTTGCAAACTAACACTCTACTTCAGTTCCTCGTTTCCCAAGCTGAAAGTTCGCTTTCCCTATTTGTTCCAGCAAAAGATAGAGGGCCTTCAGGTCAAGTATAACTGTAGATATAAATTTTTAAAAAGAGGTCAATGCACATGCAGGTATTTGGATTGAAAATTATGGTACTAAAAAGTACCTTATTAATTATTATGTGAAACTGACCTTTAAATCTCACAGCATAATGCACTCCATCCACTGTGATTTCATTCTTCTTTAGTGCATCCTTTTGTTTGTTGACATTAACAATCAGCTTTTTTAGGTTTTCCTTAATAATAATAAAAAGTAAAGTTACCGGTAAACTGAAGCTATTACTAAAATGAAAAATAACAAGGAAAATGAAATACCATACTGCTAGTCTAGTCTGCGGCAGATTAGTTCTTAAGACTTGAAAACATAAGGTCGGGTTTGAGTGGCACACTAATAAATATTTAAGACCCTTGTGGTAAAATGGAAAGCAAGATCGGAGTGTCTGATGAGTTCTAAAAGAAAAGAAAGAAAGATCAAAGGTACTGACACAGTACCCCTGCCTCCCCCCCAGAAATAGCAAATTTTTCTTAAACCCCTCAGAAATATTCCAAAGATGCATGAAAGGTGCTGTCACAGTCAATCCCCTTGGAAATGACTTTCAAAGCCCCCCCCCCCTCAATCAGAAAATCTGGGGGGGAAATGGGAGTAGATATTTGAATGGAATAGACCACAATTCATTTATGGTTAGGGAGGGGGGCATTGGGGGGTACCCAATACCACAATACCGTAAGAAAAAATGGTAAATACCAAAATACCGCGTCGAAAATCGTCTAAATACCGATACCGCATGTTTAAATCACATTTATAATTGGTTCCGCATACTTATGGTTGCTTCCATCTAGCGCATTTAATTATCTCAGGCATTTATGCACCAGATGTCCATGTTTTTTTTAATATTTTGGTACTTCGCAAGTTTTTCGCAAATTTTCACTGAAAAGTAAACTACATTTGTTCAGCCTTTTGGCAGGTCGACCCAACAGCTAATTAACTCCAATGAAATTAACTCTTGAAAGTGCGAAAAAGAAACCAACCAAAGCCCTTTCCATGTACGTCTAGTGCCAGTTTTGATAAGTGAGTCTAGTCTAGCTTGTCAGTCTCTCAGGGGTCAACTGTTTCATATGCCGCGTGGGTAAGAGGCAAAACTTACCAAATTTTCTCTTTTAACTTTACAAGGTGTTTTTCAATTCTCGAAACCCGACATCTAAACTTATTCTTGTTGCGATAATGTTCGTCTCCTTCGCCCTCTTCATAAAAAATTGCCACACAGTCAATGATGACCACGCCGCCTTCAACCTCAGCGACCTTAGACAATTTACCGGCACAGGTACACAGACCGAAAAGCCTGCTGAGGTAACTTGAGACGACTCATTATCATTGGATGCAACAACAATCACATTGTATACTATCGACCATTAACTGTCACAAAATGACCCACAAATGGTGGAATCATTTACCGTTATGTCTCAAGACTTCTAAATATTAACTTTTATTGACCTTTATGTCTTCCTGTGTTTTGTTTTGCGTATTGTATCGAAAGGAAAGCTCAAATAAACAGTACCGTAATACCGTGAACAATCTTATTTCACCGAATGACCGAATACCATCAGCCAAAATGTTGAAAAACCGCATACCGCAGAGCTAGATGATACCGCAATACCGCACGTTAAAATTAAAATTACCGAAATACCGCATGAAAAAAAGCCCAATACCGCAATACCGTAACCCCCCATGTCCCCCTCGTTAGGGGTATTACTTGATAGTTCTAGTAAGCTTAAAGAAAACAACAACAACACAAAAAATAGTTGGTGGCTAACTCACCCCGATTTTTCCAAGTCGAGTGCGATTTAAGATCATCTGCCAGGAATCGTCAGATATTATTGATTCCAGCTTACAAAGAAGCAACATCCAATCTGGCACGTACAGACATCATTTGTATACGCTGGTTCCACAGCTCCTCAGGTACGAGCTCGCAGAATGCCTTTCGAACTCCCGGCTCGTTCGCTACTTCACTAAACACATGCCAAATGAGCTCCTGCCCATTGATCCCATTGAAAGTTTTCTTACTCTGAAACAGGCAGCTTTGTGCAACAACGTCCCCCAAGGTTTCTCCCTGCTCTAAACAGACAGATTCGACGCTTCCCATTACAGCTTCCACCTTTTGTCTGATATTTCTCTTCTTTTACGAAGAGCCAAACTTTGATTTAATAACGAAGAAACTGACGATACAGATCCTACAGATTGCGAGGAGTCGTCACGGGAACTTGAAGAAGACGTGTCAACATGGTCAAGGGGGATTTCAAATTTTGGCGGGCTTTGTCTTCGTGGAGTGGAGCATTTTGGTAGGCTTCCCGGAAAGCAGCTTTCTAAAGATAATTTCTCACCTTTCGATTCTTGGGGACTTTCTCCTTCATCACTTTTAGAACCTCTGTCTGTACTAACGTAGCATAAATCCTGAGCGGGCCTGTGATCGATGTCCGATTCTTTCAAAACATCCTCGTTGATGGTCCGCTTCAGCGACAAGAAGACTTCTGATCGAAGAAATTCCGATTCTGACAGGTTCCTAAGGACTAAATTACAGGTAACTACTGCAAATGTACTTCCAACGTAAACTTGATCAGAAGATTATTGCCCATTTAGCTTATTGAACCACTGGCTTGAGACAGGGCAGCCATTTTCATTGTGCAGATCAGCAAAATCTGAAAGAAAGAACCCTCGCTGACTTGTCTCCGCAAGTGACTCGATCTTCCTGAGAGTAAGCTTATACGAATTCCTATCTGGCACCAATTCAAGTTTTTACCAAAAAAAGCCTGATCCAATTTTTCTCTGCAATAAATTAACTAAATAAGTCTGCTTCTTCTTCTCCACAGCATCGACAAAGAACACAGGTAGCCCAAGCTCACTATGAGAGCCCTGAACAACATTATCCTACCTAGCTAATTAATTATTCATACAGCAAGAAAATTATAAGACGTTGTATGGAGAAATATTCTTTGCTCACTAAATTAGCAAAATGTACATTGAATATCGCTTTGAAGCTTACCTTTAGCGTCTTCTTGTTTTTCTTTGTATTCTGACTGCATTTCAGACCTCCTAGGCACTGTTTAAGCTCTGTTTGTAGACTGACCTCACCACCAGTACCACGGACATAAAATCTGATCGGAGGTCATACAGTAACTGATGGGTCTCTGAAAAGCGAAACACCAGTCACTTGGGGCAGTAGGCTATATAGATGATGAACTCATTGTTTATAACCCCATAACCGTATCCCAAAAGTCGAGCCAGCCCCCTGGGCGAACGGAACACAATTTTAGCTATCTGGCCGCGCCCTTATGTTTAGTGGGAAATTTGATTAGTCAAATCTCTCTTAACTCCACGCCCATGCACCTTTCAAATATAGCCCTTCTTATCATCCTTAGTTTAGGGCCTCCCGTAAGCATTGCAACTATTTTGATTTGTAGAAGACTGTGAGTTTTCCATTACTTTAATGTCTCGTAAACAACACGAGGTACATGTTCTGATCTCCCCCCCACCCTTCCCCATCCATAACAAAAAATTTTCAGACCAACACTGAATTGCATGAAGGTATGTACAAAAATATGACCATCTCGAGGCAAGGTTCATCACTGTAACTTACCACATAAAAGCCTTTTCGTTTTGGTGCCATCGACTGATTCTGTTCTGAATACTAAGGTCCCATAAACAACGCCACGTTTAGAAAGAGCCCGCCCTTTTCAATCCAAAAAAACCCAAGTAGCGATTTCCCCAACGGACATAAGCCGTAAAGAAAGGACCGCGTCAAATAGCCACACAAACGCCTCATGACACCTTTAATTCCTCTTTCTTCGATAAACTAATTTTTAATTTTTTAGCACCAAATGACATCAGAATGCGGATTATGAGCATTAGCTTATGAAAAGAAAATTTAACACCTGATGCACATGAAGAGGGGACTAGGGGGAATTAGGAACATTGGCTTTACCGCTGGAAAATATTGGCTAGTTCTTTGAATAGACTCAATTAAAGCCGTTTTTGTTCAGTAAAGGAGCTGTTAGATGGGGAAAGCTATAAAATGAATCGCATCAGAATACGGCATAGGACCAGGCTCTCTCAAAATCGATAAGCCAAAGATGCAAGACTCCAATTGTGCCAAAAACAGAAAAATTCCTTGAGGTAAAATTATGGCTAGGAAAAAGACTGAAGGTGGAAAGTTAGGATAGTAGCTTCTTTTCAGGTAATCGATCATTTTACGTTAACTTCGCTATCAAACAGGCATATCGGAACCAGATGGATGAGAGTATAACATTCAAGAAGAAACAATTTGATTTTCACAATTCAATAAAATAGCTAAAGTGGTACTTTACTCGGTTATACAAGATTTTGACAAACAGATTTTACGATGGGGCATTAGCTGTACTCACACTAATTCTACTTTACAATCGTCGTGTTAAAGATCATTTACGTACTCCAAAACAGTTGGATTCCTACCCTTATACCTTTATTAAAAATTAAAGTTAGGAAGTTTGTTGTTTTCTAAAAAGTAGTTTGAACAGCCGAGCGACATTTTTTTCACCCAGACTGTCATCTTTTTCTCACCGATTGCGATATCACATAACCTCCACTTAGTTTTAGCAAATGTAGTAGGAAAAACGTTGCCAGACCGTCATCTGGGTTTTGAAAAACTGTCGCTAAAAAAGGCCTTAAACAGTGCCTAGGAGGTTCCAGAAATGCACTCAAAAATAGATCAGAAGTTGTCGCGGCGGAGGATATGAACTCATCCGAGGTTAAAACTGTTCAAAAGGCCCAAACAGATGAAATGCTGGAAAACTGTCGCTCAAAAATCCTAGACAACAGTGCTAGAGGTCTGAACTAAAATGGCAACTTTGTCGTCGAGTAAGGTAATACATCTCAATTTTCATTACTATGGTTAATTTTAAAAGCTCTGGTTTCGGTAAAGGAACTGGAGGAAAATCAGGAAAATTCCAGTTCGACTGCGATGGTTGAATTTTGTTTACGCGTCATAGCATAAACATAACAAATTCATTTTCCTTTTCCTCATACAATCTGCCTTTTTTTATACTGTTTTTCGCAGCAGAGTTATCGATTATATTACAGAGGCTAATTTTATGACACAGATCACTCAGATTTAATGACAGAAACTCTATTATCGATTGTAATTTTGGCAACACCTGGCGAGTATTCGGTGTACAGATTATTGACAAAGTCGCTAGAACAGTCTTCCATTCATTACTTTTGTTTCTGCTCCGTTAAATTTGC